AATCTGTGCTCTCTAGTTATTGTTCCCTTACTGACTGGGTCATGTTTAACTTGCTACTGTGCACAGGACAACTTCTGCTGGCCCTAATGGTGTTTTGTATAGATACCATTGAGGACTGATATTTGTGGCATTGGGTTCTGTATGAGCTACTTTAGACTCCAGTGCCTTCGTTCAGTGGTCAGGGGCACTTCTCCTTTGGAGGTTCCTATAAGAGATGAGAACATGTCACTAAAACCAATTACTAGTAAAATCCCTGAGAATATGTACTTGCTAACGGTATTAAAAGATTTTATTTGAAGAAATAGAAAACTTTTAGGTAATGTTTGAGGTGTTTTCTGTAATAAATGTAAACCATGATGATGTAAGAAAGTTAGGAAAACTTTCTGAAGAATAAAGAGAAAAGGTAGAAAAGATGGCCTGGAGATGACTGCTGCTGTTGCAGCGCGGGCCCATTGCCACATTGACTGTGCTTGAGAGTTTGGGAGCATAGCTGATTTGCCTCTTCCCTCTACTCTTCCCCAATGTAATATGAACAGTTTTCCCAAATGGAATTTTTATTTAAAATATATTTTCTATTGATTTCAGAAAGGGGAGAGGGAAATTGATTTCATAGAGGAAGGGAAGGGGAGAGAGAGATAGAAACATCGATGAGAGAGAATCATTGATCAGCTGCCTCCTGCACACCACACACTGGGGACTGAGTCCGAAACTCAGGCATGTGCTGTGACTGGAAATTGAACCGAACCGTGGCCTCCTGGTTCATTGGTCAATGCTCAACCACTGAGCTACGCCGGCAGGCCCAAATGGAACTTTTAATGAACTTTTTATTGTTAATTCAGTCATTCTTTTCAAACTTAAAATAGATACTTAAGTTTGCATCCAAGTCTGAAAACATTACTTTCTGGTTTGGGTCCCCAAGTCAGGGAAGAGAAACCAACTGAGGTTCAGCTCATTAATATTTGACTTTAGTGGTCTGCAGAGTGACTCAATAACACAGTGATCCCTGATCTTCATTTTGTGCCAACTGCATGATTTTACATCCAAGTACCACCTATATTCGTGCACGGGTAGGGTCCCTAGGCCTGGCCGGCAATCAGGGCCTATCAGGACTTTCCGGCTACTGGCCGGGGCCTCCCTTCCCCAGCTGCCAGTTGCCAGCCGGGGCCTTCCTTCGTTCCGCACCGCCCTCTGGTGGTCAGCGCACGTCATAGCGAGTGGTCAAACTCCCGAGGGGACACTTTGCATATTAGCCTTTTATATATATAGATAGAAGATAGATTTTCAGGGAGAAGTGGAGCCAGCTGTTTGCTCCCTCTGTGTAGGGCTTGCTCTGGAGGTGGAATGAGTGTTCAGGCCCATCCATGGCACCAGCCCAGAAAATGAAAGATTTTAGGGACACCTCCAGGTCTTGTTCCAGCACTGTTAAAGGAGCCAGCCTTTTTTGAAACCCATAGTCTTATCTCCAGAGTGAATGAAAGATTCTTCTAGTGAGGAAACATTTCCTCTAAAAGATTATGGAGGCCTGTGTCGGTCACCTGTCTGTGGTCTCAAGTGATTTTCTTTTCTGTGCTGTGATGGGGCAGGGTTTAGCATTCTTTCTATTTCCCAGTCACTACAGCAAGAACTTTCAGTACTATCACAACTGTGTCATGAATCATTCCCTTGATTTCCATCTGTTCCTCTCTCCCTGTTAGAAGGACTGCAAGTTGATAGAGCTGGACCACTTTGATGACTAATGAAAAACCTAGTGACCAAGGTGTTCCACTTCCTGTTGCATTTTTAGAATGAGAATAACACAGGAAGTATAAATGTGAAAGCAGCTCCCTGGTGGCCTATGACAGGCTGGAATCCTCAGACAGGTTTTGCTTCCTTCCTGGATTACTCTTCCAGGAAGATAGGCTTATGAGGTTTTGTGGCAATAGCTCTCGGGGTTTGGGCCAAGATAACAGAGATTTTATGCCTCAATTTAGTGTGTCCTTAGGACAGTTTTTAAATGTTGGGTGTTGCTCCTGTTATGTTACTCTTGGCAAATAGTAGGCATGGAACTTGCTACTTGGTGGATTGATTAAACAGTTCTGAAAATATCAACAGGTAATGATTTTTATATGTTATGATATAATATAACTAGATGCTGAAATGCTGGTGAAGAGAATTTATAATAGTAACTGAAAATCTACCCCAAAAAGGCAGGACCTTTTAAGAAGAAAACTATTATCCTTTGCTGACCCCACAAAAGAAGACATGAATAAATTGCAAGATGCTATTAATAAGTTTAATAACATTCTAATCTAAAGCCCAGTGGAGCCCTAACCGGTTTGGCTCAGTGGATAGAGCGTCGGCCTGGGGACTAACAGGTCCCAGGTTCGATTCAGGTCAAGGGCATGTACCTTGGTTGCGGGCACATTCCCAGTAGGGAGTATGCCGGAGGCAGTTGATCGACGTTTCCAACTCTCTATCCCTCTCCCTTCCTCTCTGTAAAAAATCAATAAAATATATTTTAAAAACAAACAAATAAATAAATAAATAAAGCCCAGTGGAACTGGGGGAGCAGGGTCTAACTGTTGCTAAAGATCTTCTATAAATAAACAGTGGCAGGACCTACCAAGAAGTCGTTGGTCAGAGTTTAAGAGTGTTTGGAATTTTAACTGCAGATGCTTTTCAACATCCCAATAAACCCATTATAAATTGAAAATATCATTCAGCCCAGCCAGTGTGATACAATGGTTGAGCATCAACTTAGGAACCAGGAGGTCACGGTTGGATTCCCATTCAGGACACATGCCCAGGTTGCAGGCTCTATCCCCATGCAGGGTATGCAGGAGGCAGTTAGTCAATGTTACATTTTTACATCGTTGTTTCTCCCTCTCTCTCCTTCTCCCTTCCTTTCTCTCTAAAAATCAATTTAAAAATTTTTTTTTTTAAAAAGATGGCATCCCGTCACAAACCGTTTAGAAAAGAGGGCTGGTTAGCCAGTGCTTCAGGAATAGTTGAAAGAAACTTTAGATCAATTAAAAGAAAAAAGCAAGTGAGTATGACTTGGAACAGAGACAGACTCTATAAGCCTATAAGAAGCTACCCAAGAAAAGGAAAAGGAATTTCTTTGACAGTTAAAATTTTATGTTCTATATGTTAGACACCATCGCCCAAAACCTTAAAAAGCAAGTAGCCTGGGAAAGGGTTCCAATTCTTTGTAACTGAAGAGATTACGAGAAAATTGGCCAAGAACAAAACAGACCACCAGAACTCACAGGTGTCAGGACGTATAGAAGACAGAAACTTCCAGCCTTGGAGGTACCAATAGGAACAAATGGGAACCAGTATTTGCCGTTGTTGGGTTTCACTCAGTCTCATCAGTCAAACAAAATACTGGGCTACATTTTAACGTTCAGCAAGAACAAGGTTTAGTATGAACCATCTAGACTTTGAAGACCCTACAGTTGCCAGCATTTGGGGTTTATTTTTCTCTGGTGGTGCTTATGGTGTTTCACTGGTAACACAGGAACCCAGCATTGTTGAGAGTCAGATAAAATGGACACCTCATACTGGTGGGGTTATTTTAAGTCAGTTTTTCACTTTAGGGTAAAATGTTTGACAGTCTACCACAAATCTGTAAAATGCTCGTTTCTTTTGACCCACTGGTTTCACTTCCTAGGCATTTGACCTTAAAAAAAAAAGATGTCCATAAGATTTATATATAAAGGGTCATTTTAATGTTATTTGTGTTTTCTAAAAGTTAAAAAACAGCTAACCATGTGGAAACATTCAGATTATGTAACATCTGACAGTGAATTGCCACACAGTCAAGAAAGACCACATCTTCACAAAGGGTGGCAGGAAGAGCTGCCCCTGCTGCTGGCCCAGCAGCCACAGGCAGGTCCCAGCTGTGACTAGAGTGAGTGTGAGCACACGTGCAAGTGTACATTGTAGGAAAGAAGAGAGATGGAGAGGACATGCCGAGATGCGAAATCTTGGTTGTCCCTGGAGAGTTGAGATAGTAGGACTTTTATTTTCTTGTCTTTCTGTATTTTTAAAAATTTTTTAATGAACTTACAAAATTTGAATTTTTAAAAATCACAGGTCCAGCAGATACCTTCATATTACACTGCTGTTAGTGGGAACTCCACTTCGGCTCATGTTTAGGGGGGATGTTTAGGTTTGTAGGTGTTTCTGATTTGGTGCTGAGCTTCTTCCCAAGGGCTTCTGAGCTTCCCACTTCCACTGTCTCTGCACCCTGAGCTCATGGACAGTGGTGGGTGGGCTCCCACAGTTAGGACTGCGTGACTGCCGCCTCCCTTCACTCCCAGTTCTCCAGTGCAGATGGTGGCTTTCACGTTTAGGCCTTGATTTGTTTCCAGTTGGTCTCATCTGCCCACCTGTAGTTAGTATTTACATAGTTTGGCCAGGAGTTAGAAGAATTGCCATTGAGCTCAGCAGAGTCTCCTCTTGATAACCTACCAGCCCTCAGTTGGACACTGGGGTTTTAATCAGGATGTTCTCTGGATGAATTAAACCAGTGTTTTTAAGACTTGGTTTGTTAACTCACAAAATTTCTAATAAAAAAAACACTTTGTTATCCTTTAATTTCATAAGTATTTATTGTGTACCAGCTCTAGAGAATATGTGTTAGATAAGGCTGATTCCTTCCCTGTCATTCTCAGAGCTTACACTCTAGTGGGGAAGATAGGAATTCATTAAGTAATATACTACAGAAAGGAAACACCAGTATAGTTAGATACAGTGAAGGAGAAAGATGGGTATTCCCCTGAAAAAGACACATGTGAGCAGAAACCATTTATGGAGAGAACTATGCTTGTTTTGTTCAAGATAATTATTGTTTTAAGTGGAATATCTGCTACCTCTTATAGATGACCCATTATTTTTCAGGCATTTCTCAGATAAGCCACTTAGATCATAATCTCACATTTCAGTTTCTTCCACAAAGTAGCAATACTGTCAAATGGAAGGTAGCCTGAGAATTGCTAACCTCTCTGTGTTTTTAGCCGACAAGCTGAGCCACCAAAGAAGGAGGCAGTCTCTGCTGGGCCACAGGTGAAGCGAGCAGATGAGTGGAAAGACCCTTGGCGCCGGTCCAAGTCTCCCAAGAAGAAACTTGGTGTATCGGTCTCCCCTAGCCGTGCACGAAGGCGTCGAAAAACGTCAGCCTCATCAGCCTCTGCCTCCAATTCCTCCAGGTAAGGAGGCAGGCTGGTGTGAACAGCTGGTTCATAAACACACAGGAGTGATATTGTCATGGTCTGGGGAAAACTCAGTAAGACTAAACAGGCATTTGTTGGTCTCAACTTACTGAGTAACTGGGTGGTACAGCGTTAGCAGCAAACTAGACTGGCACTTAGAACCATGTTACAGCTTCACATATTGAGATCAGCCAGGATTCGGGCAACTCAAAGTAGAACACAGACCTGGCCAGTGAACCAGGGTGGGGGGCAGGGAGTGTTTGGGGAGAATGCTTGCGTGGGTCACTCCGGGAGAGGCATTGAGAGGAGAGACCGACGGGAGCCAGGGTTAGCAGCTCTGAAATCTGTGTATATACTAGCTCTGTGCAAACAAGTGAGGATGTCATGGATGGTGAGAGCTGGATCTCTTCCCTGCCAAAAAGAGACACTACAGATTGGAAAGGGGACCCAGGGGAGCCGCAGTGTTAGACGTGAACTGGAAATATCAGTGTGGAGTCAGGGTTCGCTACATGCACAGATGGACAGATAGAGAAATATGCAGGCACATGTGTGCACAGACACCTGCACACACAGGCACACGTATCCTGGCTCTGTACACTGAGGGCCTGGGAGCTGTGTCACAGAAACAATGGGATACACAAAATAAAACAAAAAAATAACAGTGAGATACCCAGCATACAGGTCTTGGTTTCTAAACACCATTCCCACCAAAAGGAGGGTGGGACTAAGCATGTCCACAAAGGTGTCCAAAGGGCAGGTGTGTCTGTATGAGTGTGGTGGGGTATATGTGAGTGCGGGGAATATATCTGTGTGTGTGTGTGTGTGTCTGTGTGAAGGGAGTGCGTATCTGGGTAGGTGTGTGTGTTTGGAGGAGGTTGTATCTGTGGAGCAGGTGTATCTGGGTCAGTGTGTCTGAAGGGGATGTATCTAGAGGGGTGGGTGTGTCTGGGGGGTATATGTGGGTGGGTGTATCTGGTGAGTGTGTCTCTGTGAGGGGGTATGTATCTGGATGTGAATATAGCCCTGTTGTATCTGAGTACAGCAGGCCTGGCATCGGTGGGCAGGGCAAGGTAGAGAAAGACCTGGTCTCTCTTCTCTCCCCCTTGATGCTCTAGGTCGTCTTCACGGTCCTCCTCCTACTCTGGCTCTGGTTCGTCCAGGTCTCGGTCCCGGTCCTCATCCTACAGCTCCTACTCTAGCCGGTCTTCCAGACACAGCTCCTTCTCAGGCAGCCAGTCCAGGTATGTCCCCAGAGCTTATCGGGTGTGGCCCAAGTCGATATATCTGTCTATCCTGTGTGTGTGTGTGTGTGTGTGTGTGTAGTGCATATGTGGGTGTGTATATCTCTGTGGCATGTCTCTATCCTGACAGTGTTCTTCCAGGTGCTGTTTTCAGAATAGTGTCACCATGTTACCTGTCTTGTGGTACATTCTACGGAATACATAGCGAGGGGCCAATTAACAAACTGCACGCGCTGGGAGATCTTAACACACAGTGCATATCAGGGGACGCAGCACCTATGTTGGCCTGTTTTGGAAGCATACTAAAATCAGAAATCAGGCATCACACACACACAGACACCCATATACATACCCACACGTACATATACACACACGCTTCTTTGGGAAGCATATCACTAGATGTTTGGGAATAAGTGGACCTGTTTATCTTGCAGTGGTTTGTTGTCGCACAGGGGCACTACTTCCTGGCAGCCAATCTTACTTTAGGGCAGTTGTCAAGAGGATTAGAACAGCATTAGATCGTTCGAGCTATTAAATCTGGTAGTCACGTTAACATTTTAAGTGGGCTGTAGAAGAAACAGTAGATGATATGTGGGCCTGTTTTCCACAAATGTTGAATCTTGTGCATATCAATAACCTTGAAAAAGAAAAGCAAACCTGTCCTGGTTGGTGTGGCTCAGTTTTCCCATGTACCAAAAGGTTGCCGGTTCAATTTCCGGTCAGGGCACATGCCCAGGTTACAGGCCCTCAATCCCCAGTAAGGGGCATGTAGGAGGCAGCCAATGGATGTTTCTCTCATCGGTGTTCCTATCTCTCTCTCTCTCACTCTCTCCCTTCCTCTCTCTATTAAAAAAATCAATAAAAACATATTTAAAAAATAAAGAAAGAAAACCTTTTTCTAAGGGTGTCTGGAGGGTCAGCTATGGGTCCTAGGGCCTCACGATTTTCCTGCCGGAAGTTGAAGCAGTACCAAGAACAGCTGCCAGTCATGGAATGCTGCCTGTAGGAGATGAGGTTAAAGACAGCTATTAATCAGAGCATCAACAATGGGAGAAACCTTGTATGGCTTCATTTAAGAAACAAGGCTGGTAAGCTGCAGGAAGAAGCCTGAGACTAAGCTGGGAAACTTAGAAATTTTAGAAATCACATGTGCAAGTTACCTACAGTTTTTCTTATATGTATTCAGTGGACACTGGGAGAGATTAAGAAGGCCCTATGGCATTGAGTCTCTAAGGTCAGGGACGTGACTGGGACAGCTCTGACAAGGCCCAAGGCTACAAACAGCAGACAAAAGAACCACCTCAGCCTGGTGGGCTTGCCAGGCTCTTCATGCTGAGTTAGGTGTGGAGGGGAGGGGGCTGCAAGCACGAGAGTCAGCGGAAACCCGGTTGCTCTTTCAGGAGGTGCTTGGCCTCCTCGTCATCCATTTCTAAAGAAACTCCACTCAGGACGCAGCCCTGTGTACTGAACCAGTTTCAGATATTTTTAGTTTGGAAATTAGCCATTTCCACAAAATTAGGTGGAAATTAGGCTCTTTTTCACCACTTTCCTTCCCCGTGACTTGTGTTTATACTGTTCCAATGTCTATCACTCAGCACGCCTCTTCCCTGGCTCCAGGCCTCTGCTGGCTCCTAGGCAGGCCCATGTGTACCTGAGAGCATGAGCAGAGTGCCCGCCTGCAGCACGCCAGGTGGGCATTGGCTCTGCAGCAGCCTTCTGAGCAATGGGACCCAGGGATGAGGTCACTCTGAGGAGGTGACATCCCCACCCCACCCCATGTGGTGATTCCGGACTGCACGGTGTTACAGAAGCTTGAAAGTGAACCTGGCATTCGTTCCTGTCTCCCATGGCAGGCTGCCCAGCCAAAGGCAGTGAGTGTGAAGACAGGAGAAAAGAGCATTTTTCCTATGTAGCTTTGTCTCTATACATTGCAGCATGTGTGACTGCAAAAGCCCAATCTTAGCTTAGCTGTTGGTGTTCCTTGGCTGAAAGTGTCAAAAATCTTACATGACCATTTCTAAGTAGGAGAAAAATACTGCAAACCCATAAACCTTTTAAAGGGTTGCCTCCTGTGTGATGTGTGAATCCTGAATGGTGGGGCCAGCAACCTGGCCAGGCCAGGCCTCCACCCAGTCCAGCACTTCATCCGTCCTTCTGACCCCTGCAACTTGTATCCAAATGAGCTCACTTGTATCCTTTAGCTCCATGGTCGGCAAACTGCGGCTTGCAAGCCACATGTGGTTCTTTGGCCCCTTGAGTGTGGCTCTTCCTAAGCCTTAGGAGTACCCTAATTAAGTTAATAACAATGTACCTACCTATATAGTTTAAGTTTAAAAAATTTGGCTCTCAAAAGAAATTTCAGTCGTTGTACTGTTGATATTTGGCTCTGTTGACTAATGAGTTTGCCGACCACTGCTCTAGCTGGAACGCTCCCTGCGCCAGACCAGTCTCTGCCGCATAGCACTGTCACGTCTGTGCGTTGGCCTGTGCCGCTGGCCATTCCTGGGGCCACCCACCTGAGTGGAGGTGCCCCACTAGGCCTTCCGTTTCTCCCATGCTGCCAGGGCCTGGTCAGGCTGTGTGTCTCCTCATTGTGGTTTCATACGCACACAGAGAGCAGAGCCTGTGCCCTTCAGGTCCTGCCCACGCTCACATGCCACACGGCTCAGGGCCTCAGAAGGACTCAGCAGTGTTGTTAGCAGCTATCCCCTCAGCACTCGCCTTTCCCCTCTGGCGATGTACTTTATGAAATGACCAAGAACTGTCTGAAATCCTGTAAATAAGTAGGAATCTGAGGCAAATTAGTAGAAATTCATGGTGGCCTCCTCTGTGAATTTGAGGTGGCATCCCCAGCATGCTCATACTTGGACAAGGACACTGTGGTGCTCCCTTTTCACACTTCTGTTTACTCCCTAGGTCCCGATCCTTTTCCTCATCCCCGTCCCCCTCTCCAACGCCTTCTCCACACAGACCTGTCCGAACCAAGGGGGAGCCAGCTCTGCCTCCTGGGAAAGCAGGGTAAGTGCCTAGTGGTCAGGCCAGGCTGACTCAGCATCCACCTCCCTCCCTCATATCTCATATGTGGACAAGCCCCAGGGGAACTGTAGACAGTACCCTTAGAGGTGGGCGTGTAGACCTAGGGGCCATGTACTGTTTGGGGGTGGAAATGTCCGTGCTCCTTGGGGTTCCAAAGAAGTGCAGCCACCAGCCCACCTCTTACCAGGCAGGCAGGTGGGAGGAGGTTCCTGTCACACTCAGCCTTGAGGCTGTGTCTGCAATGCATGGAAAGGAGCAGCCTACCTCCTCTTCACCTTTGCTGCTCCTGGAATAAGTCACATTGATCCTTTTCAATAGATGTGGCTCATGGGAGAAGTTAGAAACATATAGAACTATATGAACACCTAAATTCTGTAACACCTGATGTGTAGTGTCTCAGCCAGGCACTTTAGGGAGGTCAGTAGTTAATTCTCTGTGACATCAGTCCTGCCACCTAAGGGGCAAGGCAGCCTCTGTGTGAGCAGACTGGACCTGCATACTTGCCTTGGGCCCTGTACTTGTCATAGCCCTTGCTTCTTGACTTGTTCTTATAGTAGTTATTTGTTTAGTGGGAAAAGAGCCCATTCCTCCTGTATAATAGGCATTGAAATGCTGCACACTACCAGTGTTTTATCCTAAATGGAGTGAGCTAAAAGGCCTCAGTAACATTTAGGGAATCCTGAACAGCTAACTTTCATAAAGGAACTAGAGACCCAGTGCACGAAATTTGTGCACAGGGGTTGGGGGGTCCCTCAGCCTGACCTGCACCCTCTCCAATCCAGGAGCCCTCAGGGGATGTCCTACTGATGGCTTAGGCCTGCTTCCCATGGTTCTCTGCTCTCTGCAGGGTCTGCCTGCTCCACACCTTGACCATGGCCAAGCAGGCCCTGCTGGGTGCTGCCTGCAGGCTGTGCTTGCCTGCTCCCGGGTTGCCCTGGCGACGGCAAGCAGGCCTTGCTGAGTGCGGCCTGCAGGCCATGCTTGCCTGCTGGGCTCGCATTGCTGGGAAGACGCGCCAATGTCCCGCCCCAGCCACTATGGGCGTGGCCATCTTTGTTGTGGAGTGATGGTTAATTTGCATATTACTCTTTTATTAGATAGGATTGTATTGAGATATAATTTTTTTTTAATATATTTTATTGATTTTTTTACAGAGAGGAAAGGAGAGAGATAGCGATAGAGAGTTAGAAACATCGATGAGAGAGAAACATTGATCAGCTGCCTCCTGCACATCCCCCACTGGGGAAGTGCGCGCAACCCAGGTACATGCCCTTGACCGGAATCGAACCTGGGACCTTTCCGTCCGCAGGCCGACACTCTCTCCACTGAACCAAACCGGTTTCGGCATATTGAGATATAATTTATGAGCAACACAACTCATCCATCTAGATTGTACCATTCAATGCAGGTTAACAAACCTGTGAGACTGCACAGTCCAGACACTCCAGCCCCTGCAGTGGCTATTCCCCTACCAGGACTTCACAGACAGAGTCATGCAGGATGCATGCTTCGCTTCTGCATTTTCATCAGCAAAGATTTGACTCCCCTCTGACACTGTGCTTTTGACCAAGACTGTTTCATGCTGAGATCACTTTGTTGACAGGGTCTCTGATAGGCACATGCTCTGTACTCCATCTGAATCAGGAGTGCTCAGCACCACTAAAACGATTAACAGATAGAAAAAAACAAGCTTTGGGGGCTGTTTTCTTTACTGCAGTGTGGTTTCCACATGTGAACATGCTGCAGCACCCTCAAGGGGCCACCCCCACATGCGGGACAGGAGGTCGGGGGGAGCACAGTGCCAGCTCTCAGCGATTCTCCAAAGCTCTCAGATGAGCCATCTTCTTGCTGCTGACGCACCTCCGGCTCCTGCCTGTAGGGAGAAGGAGGCCTGAAGCTTCAGAAACGTTCCAAGAGCCCACCTGGCCTTCCTGGCGATGCACCCTGGAGTCACACCCTGAGGTCGTTGGCTGGGCTCCTCCACCAGGTCTGACCTCTTTGCATCTCATGACACAGAGAGAAGATGGTGAAGAAACCAGCCCCACCTCCAGCCCCACCACAGGCCCCCAAGACCACTGCCCCCACCCCTGAGCCTGCCAAGCCAGGAGACCCTCGGGAAGCCAGGAGGAGGGAGCGCCAAGCCAGGACCCCCCCCAGGAGGTAAGCACACTACTCTCGGGGAGCCTCATGGGGATTTCTGTCTCTTTGGTGCCAGGGCTAGGGGAGGGGACCTCCTGGACAAAGCAACCCAGGCCAGGAACCCATTCTATCCCTGATCTGTGAGGTTTGGGCTAGTTAGGCCACCTCACTGAGCCTGTTTCCCCATGGGAGGCATGAGCCCATCTCACTGCTCCACCTGAGGTGGGAAGGCACTCCCTTGACAGGCAGAATCTTCCCTGGAAAGAGGCAGTTGCGGGACGGGGGGAAGACACTGAAGAGTTTATTTTTTGAGAAAAAAAAATGCACTTAAAAGAAAATAGAGCCCTACCCACTTCTGCGTCTGTGGCAAGTTACTGGTTAAACATCTGTCTCGGACCAGTAATTAGCCCTAGCTTTGAAGAGAGACTGTCTGCCCTTTGTCGAGTCTGCAGAGATGTGACGGGACTTTCAATTGTGTTGCAGGCGGACCATCAGTGGCAGTGGCAGTGGCAGCAGCTACAGCGGCTCTAGTTCCAGATCCAGGTTATTTTCAGCATCTCTCTGGCCCCAGTCCCCATCAGCTTCTTTGCCCCTGCTCCTGCCTCCCAGTCAGGATCCAGGACCTTAGGAGAGGTCACCTCAGGTGTGAGCCTTTCTCCCCGTCAGGCAGCCTGTGGCTAACAGCTGATAGCTGTCAGTCAGTGCTGCTCAGGAGCACGTGGCTGGCTGGCTATCTCCACCTGGACGCAAGGAAGAGAATGGACTGATGCTCACAGAGTAGGGAGCCTGGTCCAGTGGCTCCAAGCATGTGGAGGGGCTGGGACGCCCTCTGTCCCCATAAGCCCCTGGCAGGCTTGAAGCCAGGGTGCTTCCAGGTCAGGACTGAAAGAGGCTCACACAGAGGCTTCGTGCTCGTTCTGTGTGGAGGGTTGGGTCCTGCCCTGGCCTGTTATGCCTGAGGCAGCTGGGGACAGCCTTTTTTTTTTTTAACCTAAGAAAATAAGTGGAAAAGAATTCTGTTATTTGGGTGTTTAAAAAGAAAACAGTATTGATCAGTCCTTAGATCCCCTAAGTCAAACTTTCTCTTAGTTCTAGGCCGCAGGTGGTTTATATACATTTGCCCAAATCTTTCTAAATAGGTTTAAAGACCTAACCTTTAAAAAAAAATCTTGGGCTTTTTTTCTTTCCCCCTCCCTTGTCCAGCATCTGACAACTTTAGGGAACAGTGATTGGTGTTTTCTCAGAGCTAAAAAGAGAGTACTCAGCAGACACTGATGTAGCAGCTTTGTGCATTTCAAGTCCTTGTGCAACATGGGCTGTGAAAGAACCAAGGACCTGTGAGATTGGCCATCGTTGCATACTTTCCTGAGACATGCCATGGTTAAAGCCATCTCCCATCTAGTGTCTGGTGTCTGCAGGTTGAAGCTCTCCCTGTGTTGTGCATCATTAACCAGTACTCTCAGTTCTATCATCACTAACTCTTGAGTCATGCTTACTCATATGTCCTTGTCCAGCAAATGGCGTGAGCATCTCCACACTATGTGGCACCTTTAAACTACCCAGAGTCCCCTCTGAAATTTCAGGTTTGGTGGGTACACGTTCCTTTAAACTGGGAATTGGGGAAAGTAGACATAGGAACGTCCCTCCTTACCCAGTCAACCCGTCCTCAGTCAGAGACATGGGCTTTTATGTGTCTAGGTCCTTGAGCGTGAGTAGCGTCTCCTCAGTGTCCAGCGCCACGTCAAGCAGCAGCTCAGTGCACAGCGTGGACTCAGACGACATGTACGCAGACCTGGCCAGCCCTGTGTCCTCAGCCAGCTCACGGTCCCCCACCCCAGCCCAGACCAAGAAGGAGAAAGGTATGGGGGCTCCTTGTGTCCTGGCTGTAGTGGCTCCAGAGGAGAGGCAGGCTCTTCATGGAAGGAGGGTGCATGTAGCCTCAGTCAGCACTGCGTGCAGTTGGTCAGACAAGAACGTGGTGACCTCCCAGTTTCGTCCCTGTGCACACGTTGCCTGCTTGATAATGCACCCCTCCACCAAGTGGCACTTGGGAAACCACTATGTAGTATCAGTGACCATGACCAAGCATTTTTTGTCAACAGGAAAATCTAAAAAAGAAGATGGCGTTAAAGAGGATAAGCGGAAAAGGGATTCATCCACACAGCCACCCAAATCCTCAAAATCTTCCACAGGCAGTAAATCCTCCCAGCAGCCCACAACTCCCCAGCAGGCACCCTCTGGGCAGCCCCAGCAGGGTACATTTGTGGCACACAAGGAGATCAAGTTGACACTGCTGAACAAGGTGAGGCCCTAGGCACATCTGGTGAGAGCTCCAGGGAGCCACGTACCTTCAGCTCATCCTGGGACTGAGACCAAGTGGGGACCAAATGGCCATTTGAACTTGGTAGCCAGATATCACCCCTGCTCATCTGCCTGCCTTGATGGTCAGCCCTGTGGGAAACAGGCGTGTGGCATAGGGTAGATGGGTTCTATAGCATGTCCTGGGGCATCGGATCATCCCCTGGTGGGTGCTCTCCCTGTCCTGAGAACCCACACCCTTGGCCCTCCTTCCTGTGCCTGGGCTGGCCAGTTCCCACAAGTCAGCACTGGGACAGAGCAAAGCAAACTTGGCTTTTGTGAGTTGATGTCCCCAAGGACCCGTGGGGCCGGAAGATCAAGAGGCTGAGTCTGCTAGAGTCCTTTCTCTGGCTTGTGGCCCCCACAGGGAGCACAGCATCTTTGCTGGCACCTTCACTACAGAAAAAGGCCCCAAAACCATGGGCTTTGCTTCACTCAGAACCACAAAGAGGGAGCCCAGAAGAGGGGAGCAGAGAACAGGTCCTGGTGTGAGGACGTCACACTATGTTCCTTTCACTGTGCTCCTCCTGGTGGCCAGTACCTCAGACCCTGTGTCCTCACTGTTCTCCCTCCATCTTTTCAGGCCGCTGATAAAGGGAGCAGGAAGCGATATGAGCCCTCAGACAAGGACAGGCTAAGCCCTCCTCCAGCCAAGCGGGCCAACTTATCCCCAGACCGAGGTGAGCTCAATCCCTGCAGGGGCCTGACGGGCAGAGGGACCAGGACCTCATCCATTATTTTAAAACTAAAGGCCCAGTGCATGAAATTCGTGCATGGGAGGGGTCCCTCAACCTGGCCTGCACTGTCTCCAATCCAGGACCTCTCAGGGATATTGGACTGCCGGTTTCAGCCCAGTCCCCACAGGCCAGTCCAAGGGACCCCACTGGTACATGAATCCATGCACAGGGCCTCTAGTATGCATATAAGATCTTTGGTTAATCTCTTCCCACCCACTCCCTTCCCTCTGAGATCCATCAATCTGTTCCATGTTTCCATGCCTGTGCGTTGAGCATCTGCCCCTTGGTGGTCAGTGCACGTCATAGCTAACGGTCAAACAGTCACTTAGGCTTTTATATATATAGATATTGAGGACCCCAAGGAACTTCTCTGATCTTGTGAATTATCAACACAGTATTAGAAGTTAAAACTAAGAAAAAGTTTTATTTTTTTTCAATGTTTTTATTAATTTCAGAGAGGCAGGGAGAACAAGAGAGAGAGAGAAACATCAGTGATGAGAATCACTGATTGGCTGACTCCTGCACGCCCCCTACTGGGCATCTAGCCCATGACCCGGGCCCACGCCCCCTACTGGGCATCTAGCCCATGACCCAGGCCTATGCCCTGACACGGAATCAAACCGTGACCTCCTGGTCCATAGGTCAATGCTCAACCACTGAACTACACAGGCCAGGCTTTAATATTTATTTATAAGCTACTCTATTTGAATACAAATAACTTTTTTTTTCCATGAAAAATAACTGGGAGTGGCATTGTTTTTTGTTTTTCTAACATCTGGTTGGCAGATAACGGCTGGGTACTCATCTCCAGAGATAGCACAAAACACAGGGGCTCCGGAAATTCCACCCTGGGCTGTGGGAAAGGAGGGCACAGTGAGTGGGCAGGGCCTCGGTATTAGTGAAAAGAGTCTGACTGCTCAGTGGTCTGTTCAGATGCTAGCTCAGGAAACCTGGAACCCAAATTGGACCTCCGCTTTCGAGGTTTTCCAGGGCTCTCAATCTGACATGATCAGGGCCCCCCCCTTCCTCCTTTCTCACCGGCTCTGCCCTTCTGCCTCTTCCTTTAAAAATGAGGAAACTGTGCTGATCTGTCACATCTCTTTGGAATGGGGTCACTAGCATCAGTAAGGCTGCACCAGACCATGTGTAACTGGGACCCTGGTCTTACATTGTTTCAGGTTCTCGGGACCGGAAGTCAGGTGGGAGATTGGGCTCTCCCAAGCCAGAACGGCAGAGAGGCCAGAATTCCAAGGCTCCCGTGGCCCTGCCAGACAGGTGAGTGCTCACCTGTGCCATGGCCACACTACGTGGGCTCCTTTGCGCCGCAGACCCAGGGGTACCTGGGGAATGTCTTAGATCTAGAGGCAAGAAGGCGGCCCAACACATGTCTCACTCTACACCACCACCACCCCAATTGGGCCCTGGAATGAGGAGCAGCCTAAGGCACTCAGCTCACAGCCTGAGGTGGGGGGCCAGTTTTGGGTGCAGATGGTCACAGCTCTTTTGTACCTTCCATTTCAGGCATAGGAAGTAGGAGTAATTTTCTTTTCCCTTGGAAGTCGGCTCTGAGTCCCTGTGCCCCTACACCATGCAGTTCAAGATCAAGGGTTGGGTGGGGAGGACATGGGGAGGGCGGGCACAGAGAGCTGTACAACCCTCCACACACATCTGGGCCTCAAGGCCTCGGGGGTCCTCCTAAGTCAGCAGTGTGGGTCGCATACAAGGTCCCGAAGCAGGACGGGGCAGGTCAGCAGGATGCTTAGCTTGACCCTGGACACTTCTCGACCATTCACTGGGTAGAGGGTGCCTTCTGCCTGGCGGGTACAGCTTACAGGGTCCAGGCCCCCAGACTGGGCCTCGTGTCCCCTGCCTGGCAGGAAGCTCAGAGAGGAACAGGCACTTGGACCCTTCTAACAACCTCCCCACCCTCGCAGGAAGCGTCAACTGTCGCCCCAGTCCAAGAGCTCCAGCAAGGTCACAAGTGTGCCTGGTAAAGCCTCAGACGCCGGCACCGCTGCCTCCACGGGCACCAAATCAGGGAAGGCCAGCACGCTGTCGAGGCGGGAGGAGCTCCTAAAACAGCTCAAAAGAA